CTTGTTTTCGATCTCATAGACTGACAACCAATCCAGAAAATAAGTAATTACCTTTAGCATTTATCATCTTCAGGATTTTGGACATGCTACTGAAGTAGAAAATATGATGCAATTATAAGTCAATATCAAGTGGTCTAACTTCACAACTACTACATCACAATTCATATCTGATTCTCTGCTACATGTGCAGCATGTATAGTAAAATGTGTTAAAAACTAGCAACCTGTATCCAAAACTATGCTTGACCAATAAAGATTAGTAGAATACTTTACAAGTTAAAAGCTCTTAATGCACCAAACAGACTCACAGACAACATAATCCGTTATAACCAAATCCTGAATAATCTATCAATTTAAATCATCATTTAAAAAGCTCATCAAGATCATCTGTTTCGATCATCTATGCAAGCTATTTACGTCAACTTTGGAGAGTTTGATTACATTGAATTGAAAAATGAACTGAAACACAAGCAATACCCGTAAGTATGAAAGAAAGCCTTGTTTAACTACATAAATAGAATATTTAATTGAGACCAAGTCTAGACCATGCATAACATTGTTATAATTTTCAATCAGTAACAAATGAGTTAGAGAAAAACATGAAAGGTTAGGAAGTGTGTTCCAGGAAGGAAGGGAGGAGAGAGATTTTAGCCAGACATTCACAAGTACAGAAGGGCATTTTATAACACCAACAATTATAGTGCATGCACCAGCAAATACATGTATGTTAGGATATATGCTTTTCCTAACAAATTAAATATAGATTTCCCCTTCACAGTTTTTACTAAGTTCTAAAAATCAAAAGAAAATCACACTGACCATGGCTAGCTGTAACTTATCCACATTTATATCTGCAACAAATTTTCTAGAAAGAACCATTGCGTGATAGTTTCTTTCAAGCAATTCATATTGAAAGAAAAACAAAAAGTTTCTTCACAGCAATTAATACGGAAGGAAAAAAATATAGTTTCTTTGAAGTAAGTCATACTGAAGGAAAACCAAAAAGTTTCTTCACAGCAATTAATATTGAAGAAAAAAATATTTAACATGAGAGTTGATAGCAATACAGAAATAACCACAATTATGAGGCCATCAAGTGACAAAACAACAAAAGAAAATAAACTAAAATAAGATATTATAAGGGAAAATTTAGTCATTTATCATGAGCCTCAAGAAATTATCATCTACCAAATATATGATGATGAGTTCTTGAACATGATAATTCTCCAGGATTAAATAACAGGTATACTTATTCAAAGGAATCCAGGCCCTAACAAGGATCCCCAGATCCATTATTACAATATTTTTGTATCAGGCAAAAACTTGATACAAATAAATAAAGTTATATATTGCATCTCATAGATAACGGAAGTTATCAAGTCAGGATCAAGTGCAGCTCAAAAATTATATATATTACACAAAGTTGAAACCTTCTGTCACTACCAGTTACACTTGCAGAAAGTAAACTTTTTCTACTAAGAGGATGTTC